GCACCTCTTCTCAACAGCCGCTGTCAAGGGTGGTTGATCGTTCCCCTGTTGCTCCTCAGACGATATTGGTTAGGCGCATGGTTGTGTGCATTATGTTGACTGTGCGCTCAACCCCCAGTGACACCAACAGAAGTTGCCTGTCAATCTAGTTATCCGGGGTCAACTCTTTGACCGGTAACGTGCCCTACAGAATGATCTGCCTAGTCAGTCCTGTGTTAGCTATGTTTTGCCAGTTGTTCCGTTAGTGATCTGACGTTGGCCACTAATTCTGTGGTTATTGGGTCTGTTCTCACACTCATGTGGTTCGCCTGCTCTTCTGTAAGTCTTTCCCTCTCAAACATCCAACCATGGGCGCATGCTGACTGATTCAGGGAACAGTTAGGGTCTTTTGCGTCTAGTAATTATGTCGCATACTCCAGGAGGGCTTGCATCCGGCCTTGCTTCAGTACAGTATACCTCACCGTGGTGTTTCCCACAAGCTGCTGCAGGTGGCGCAAGAACTGTGTATAAGGTCTGTGCCATATGTTCTCCCCCTAAAGCAGCCGTTGTATACGCCGACTTTGAGACATGGATGGGCGTTCTTTTGTAACGACAGAAGACAAGGGCCAGGCAACAGATCGTTTATTGAGGAAATCAAGAGGTATTTATATATTTTTATGCACATTATTATTCGTTATTATAAGCAGAGAAACGGCGTCTTGTGGTTGGTCGTCTTCTCACTGGAAGTTATTCTGTCATCTCCTTGTGGCCGTTTCTTCAATTTATTTACATCAAGGAATGATCATACACCATGCTGGGACTAGAAGATCTCCACACTTTTACCCATACTCAACTCGTTGTCTCGTGAAACCATACTACGGAAAATCTGAGAGATGGTAGTCAGCAACCCGCTGTTAGCTTAGATTGGCGCCTGCTTGGAGAGCAGACAGTTTCGCATGGTACCAAACCAGATTCGCTCTACATAGAAGAAGACAACGAAAGTATCATAGGAAACAATTCTAGGTCCATTGTTACCCGAGACTATCTCCCTAAAAAGTTGAACCCTCCACTACTTTAGTACCCAGATGATGCACAGTTGTAGATGGCCGTGATAAAAATCGCTCATTTGATTAATCTGCAGTAGAATGTAACCGCTAAAAATGCACTGGCCTTCAACAACAATAGATGGCGAGCTATGTTCATCAGCACACCAAGTTTACGAAGCCTCGCGTACCGTTTATGTGGAACTGACGCCTCCCATAAGGAGACGGGTACGATCAGGGATTAACTATGACAGATAAGAAGTAAGTGCTAATTACACAACAAACGCAGCTAAAGCCTCCTAAGCAATCCATTTCTCGTACGGGTATTTCGGGGCATTTACAATAGAGCTTTTTATCAGGTTTTGCAAAACCTACGTGAGTTCACATTTAAAAGTCAACAGTGTGGCTGCATAACAAATCCCAAAATAGACGCTGGTCCTCTGTAAAGAGTGTAAAGGAGGACTTTCAAAAATTTCTCTAGAATGAAATGTCGAAGGTACGATGACTGATCACTGTATCTACGGGGGAAAGAAGAGCATCCTCGTCACCACATAAAAACAGTACATAGCCAAATGCGTCCGCTTTAATACATATCACCAGAAGGGTACTAAGGCATACTTCAGGGTAACCCTAACATAATTTTTCACCGAAGGGCTAACTTTTTCCTCAGGTTTTACAGCCTGTTGAATCTACTGTCCCCCAAGGTAACTTAAAGAGAAGGCTAGATAACCGTCCAAAAACAATTGGAAGGTGAACTATTTCTGGGAGACTGTTCTGTTAGTTCACTAATCCGTGCAAAAACAATTGGATTTCATGCATAAACATGGAAGGTGAACTATTTCTGGGAGACTGTTCTGTTAGTTCACTAATCCAACTTACCCTAACCTTACTTATATTCACTCCCTTGACAGTTTTATTGCGATTTTATTACCTTGATTCATGCTAGATTCATTCTAGTCGTCTCTTGTGTTTTTTTGTTTTACAGCTTGATTCCACACAGTACTTTTGGTAGAAGTATGGAATTTTCAGCATGGATATCGGTAGCCCAAATTTTACAGGCCGACCATAGATATCGGGTGTGCGTCGGCAGGTAATCGAACCCCGGACCATGTGCATGGTCGGCGGGAGTCCTAACCACTATGCTACCGACGTACATTTACTGTCACTCTTACTTATGAGAAGCTTAAATTAGAGGGAGTGCAATGGTAATTTTCTTTAAGAACGTTTGGTTTGAAATGCAGTCTCAGCTACACTGAGCGTTGCAACAGACTGAAAATTGAACAATTCTGGAGAAGACGCCTTAAGATAAACCTTATTTTCTATTACAATCTAACTAATCTCTTGCGCCCCTCTAGGCCAGTAACTAAATCTACGTCTGCAATCAGTTACAGTCTTAGATTTCATGACAACCTGGTTTCTAAAGAGCACTGTCAGATTAATATGCGGTAAAAATTATTGTTAGGTAATTCTTCAATCATTTGGAATAGATTACCAGCCAATGTGCGTGAATCAAACACGCTTCCGGGATTCATTTCCCCAGACACCAGACTCCACAAATATGACAATGCCTTCTTATGTCTGACTCCTACACCCTCTTTTTCACCCAGTTACTACAAGTTCACTAAGAGTATGAGTTTCAACAAAATACAACAATAAATATTAATATTATTGGAAGGACATGATAAATATTTCTACACATGATATTGTGATTAGTTCACCCATATGACATAAAAGTTAGAATAACAGAACTAGTTATTTGGTGTGTCATCAAAATCATAATCTCTACACATAGTATATATGTATAAATTTATAGATCACTCCTTGAGAACTCCAACGGCTTTCTTCTGTGCTGCTGTCGTTTGTCTTGTTTTTTCTCTCTCACCATTTCGGCTTCCAAATGACTTTCTGAATGGTGATAATGAATGCAGATATTTGGTGGCTTTCAGCAACAAAAGATCTGCAAACACCACTCGTCCTGAATATTACGACTGCCTTGCAAATTACCCAATACTTTATTCTGCTATGCATTTTGGATGACACTTGTAGAATATTACCTTCACATAATTAAAATATAGTAATGACTACCTGTGCAGTGCCAATAAATCTGGAGATTTAAGAAATGGTGAAAATATGCTAACGGTTGCACCTACAATTTCACCAGCTCATGTAATGAAAAAAACAGCCTTCACATGCTCCGCTTGCCATTTCATATGGATTAGTTCGCCATTTTTCTTGCTCCTAGTAGCTTATGAACTGAAGATTATCTGTTGCTGTCGTGATACTTCTTTGTACGTTTAACCTGACACTTACTGATGTGGTGATTATGTGGCAGTTAATATTGCTAAAAACATTGTTATCGGTTAACTAACAAACGTTTTGCAGAGCAATTTTGTCAGTTGATGAACAAACGACTATACCTATCACCAGTAGTGCAACGATCAGTTATGGTGTGGATTTTGGACAAATTATGCCGCGTACACTGCTTCTGCTTCTGTAAAGCGACCTCCCAGATATTATTCCATTACCTTGTCTTATGTGTCTTGCTAAATTGAATAATTGCAAATATGCTTACTCCATGTGCATATTATTCGTCATATTGGTGATGCCAGTAAAAGCTGGCGTCCCTTATGTACAAAAAATGGGAGTGTATTATTATCCTACAGGTAATTCTGTCGCTCTACGTTCTGTTTGCAAAGTCTACTCACTCTCTAGATTTCTTCCCGACTCTCCTACTAACACTTTCTGTGGGGCGTTTGTTGATCTAACCAGAGGAGTGCCCGATAAAGAGATCGGTGAGACCTAGCGCAGGTGCAATCATACATGTTCAAATAACTTGCTTAATTATAGCGTTCAAGGAAGCAGCAGCTGAGGGGATAAACTGCACTAGAATTCACTAATGATCTAGAACCGTCCTGGAAGAAAAATAAGCAAGCACTAAGAAACCATAGGGTTTATATAAGCTTGTCAAAAAGACATTTGTTTTTTAGTATGAAACCGAACTGAATTCTGGAGGAGTTAAACTTTCGTGAGCACCCCAATTAACTTCAGCATTGACTGGGAACACCTAATCAGAATTAAATAGAAATAAATGTCACTAAATTGCTAATGAAGGTTACTATGGATTGTGGTGTTTTGAGGTCTGCGTATATTCCTCCCAGAAGACCAGTAGCCTGCTCAGCTCGCCTTACATGTGGATGTTTTGGTATACCCAACTTACTTGTTATTCATAATATAATCAATCAACCAATCTTCAGGAAACTGTCTAAGAACCAGAACAGGAGGCATGAATTCATTCGCTAATACTACCTGTAAATCTAATTGCCTATCGAGGGTTGTCAAGTATCCAGATCACAAAGATCCTGTGCCTGTCACTGGTTTAAGAAGAGCAAGTCTTATACTCAGAATGCTACACACTGTAACCGACTCAGAAGAACAGTAAATGGTTAGATAATACGATTGTTTATTTATCAACTGATAGCGAAACAGATTTACAGTTGTGACTGCCAAAGACTGTAAATGAAAGTTAATGTAGTGTACGGCAATGCTTGTGATCGTATTTCTCCACTCTTCTGCCAACCAGTACACGATTAAGCAGTGATAGTCTTCTTGTCTCCCTCCAGCATGGAGACCAGTTCGAACAAATAAACATTTTAGTGTTCACCAGCGTTGACACAGGTCATATACCGAAGGCGCTGCCGTAGTTTATTTTCATCCAAATCCATACCACCCCCTAAGCTTGTCAGCCAGGAGTTATCGTTGGATCTATACATGACACGTTCTGATTTCTTCACTTACCTGACAGTTTAAGGTGTGGTGTTTTTCTTTCCAGAAACTCTTGTTGCATTTCATCGCCCACAAAAATTACAACAGAATACGAAATAGAGACCAGAACTGAGAGGTTTAATTTGGCGTGGTTTACATTCTCCTGGTTTTTGAAGCATGTGTTTGAACTGGTCAACATCTGTGGTATTAGTGTCTGGCGCCAGTCGTTTTGGTTGCCAAGATCTCGTTCACGCAATTAATCGTGGGTGGATAGGATGAAAATTGAAGAAGTTCGGAGTACGTCGAAGACACAGCGGATAGCCGCCCACACTCATGTGAAGGGGTTAGGTTTAGACGAGAATGGTACTGCACTATCGAATGCCTGTGGGCTTGTAGGGCAAGAGTGTGCCCGGGAGGTAAAACCAACATTAAAATAAAGTTTTCCCAGGCTGCTGGGATTGTAGTTGAAATGATCCGGTCGAAGAAAATGTCTGGGCGTGCAGTCTTGATGGCAGGACCTCCTGGAACAGGGAAGGTTGGTAGTTATTAATAACAGTTATAAGATTGTCACTAATGTATGAGTTTTGTGTACATTTTGGATCAATGTAACATCTTTTTGTGATTTTCTTCACACTACAATAGACTGCAATTGCTTTAGCTATTGCTCAAGATCTTGGAGGGAAAGTCCCGTTCTGTCCAATGGTTGGAAGTGAAGTCTACTCGTCTGAAATAAAGAAAACGGAGGTCCTAATGGAAAACTTTAGAAGGGCGATAGGTATTTCAGCCTGCCTTTTTCATGAAAAAATGTAGGCTTGCGTATAAAAGAAATCAAAGAAGTTTATGAAGGTGAAGTAACCCAGTTAACACCTGTGGAAACTGAAAGCCCAACTGGAGGTAGGTTGTATTTATTTTGTCTCACCAGTGTACAGGCTTCGGAAAAACTATTAGCCACGTCATCATCAGTTTGAGAACCGCAAAAGGTGTCAAACAGTTAAAATTAGACCCATGTATTTACGAGAGCCTCCAAAAAGAACATGTTGAAGTCGGAGACGTAATTTATATTGAGGCAAATTCAGGTGCAGTAAAACGTCAGGGGAGGTGTGACGTGTACACAGCTGAATATGACTTGGAGGCAGATGAATATGTTCCTCTGCCTAAAGGAGAAGTACATAAGAAGAAGGATGTGGTACAAGATGTCACGTTGCATGATCTGGATGTTGCCAATGCCAGACCGCAGGGAGGACAGGATATTGTTTCAATGATGGGTCAACTCATGAAACCTAAAAAGACTGAGATTACAGGTAATAATCATTACTATAGCTTTGCTATATCCCCTGACTTCGTTTCGTAAATATTGTGATGCTATCACTCAGTTTTATCTTCTGATTTCTAGATAATTAACTACCATAATAAGATTTATTTTTTTCTCAAACGCTTTGTAAGTCATACAGTAGCTGACAACGGTCCAAAAGTGTCAGTGTCTGGCCAAATGGTCGAATAATTATTGATTACCGAAACGTTTTATCCGATTTCGTGATATGACCAGTGCTCCCTAGGTATTTTTCCCAGAAGTATTTCTCAGCAATAAAGATAATCGATGTAAAAGCGGTTGAAGAAATTTAACTGGGACATTAATTTTATGTATTGATCCAAGGCTCTCAAAACCGATATTGGAACTAATGTGGCTACTGAAACAGTGGGTTAATAATGACAGGCAATATAATTTCGAAGTCCAGTACTAATTTCCATACTGAGGTGTGGTCCATGCTCCCTTGTGGGGGCTTGTGACATAACTGTTGTGCAAGGCAGTACTAGTGGTGAGTCCTAAAATTGAAATGCATAAAGACTAACATTATGTTTCAAGTGTAATGGTGACCTCATGGGCGTAACGGATGTTTCATTCACTCGTCTATAAATACATCGATTGTGTAACAATTATCTTTATCTAGTCCAACTACTAGTTACTTTGTGGGTTTATGGTATTAGTGTTCTCAAAGTGGATACTTTCTGCCAGATTAAAAACCGCGTGCTAGTTCTCGAGTCGGTAATATTACCACCATATTTCCTAATACTATGAAAGTCATCTACCGAATCAATTGTTAATCAAGTGTGAATATGTTTCCAACTTATGTCTTAGTTAAATCTGTCATATTAATTTGTAAAGTAGTTTTCATGTAAAATAGTATTTCACTTTATTCTAAGTCAGATTGTTTGCAAGGAACTGGTTGGTATCAATGCTTCTTTTGTCTGTGAATGACTAGATAACTGTCACGCTGCAAATAGTCTATAATCAAGAGAAATTTACTGTGGATTGTTTAGTCGCTTTCGTTCAATGGTACTTACAGTGTGTGCGTGAAGTATTGGTTTTTCGTTTAGATTTGACTTAATGCTTTAATCATGAGTTGTAATGGGGTTAAGTTTCGTAAGTGGATGTAATAATATGAAATCGTCAATAAAAACTGATACTTTAGATTCCATGACTTAATTTTGTAAGTTTCTGACAGGTTTGAATTAGTAAGTTAGTGAAACTAAATTGTTTCTCTTAATTTGTAAAACATGCGTATAATTTCAATTTTCTGTATCCTTGTCTTTACCAGACAAACTTAGAAAGGAAATCAACAAAGTCGTAAACAAATACATTGATCAGGGTATCGCTGAACTAGTTCCAGGTGTTCTGTTTATTGATGAGGTACATATGTTAGATATCGAATGTTTCACATATCTTCATCGAGCCTTGGAATCAACTATCGCACCTATTGTTATCTTCGCTACTAATCGTGGGAAATGTACTATAAGGTAAGTCGTATCATGTTTAATGAAAAAAATTGATAGTGTATGTATTTCTTCCTGAGTTGGACAAGATTTTTATTTTGTCTTTAAATTAATCTAACTTTTAGTAATTAAATTGAAGTGGAAAATGAGTGAGGCATAAAATTTTAACAGTCACTTCCGGACTGATTTATTCACTTGTAAGTCACATTCAGTATTGCATTCTTCCTCTTAACCAAAGGGAATAGGACATGTTTTCAATCTGTTTACGGATAAGGGGGAGACCCAATGTACTGTTGATTATTGCCTTCGAAGAAGTATTGTGATGCTCACGAATTTACATTGGCTAGTGTCTATCAAAATAACTTCATTCTAAGTCAGAATGGATAGGTAAGATGATTTCATTCCAATGACTTGGAGAGTGGTGCCTTATGACAACTATTTGCTTTACTCGAAGCTACAAGTTTCTGCCTCCGAAAGTTTGCCTTAGTCTGAATATCTGGGCAGTGTCTCATCCCTTACCCAAAATGGGAGATGAAAACTCAATGAAAATTCCAATCCTATTCCGCGCTTCTACAACATATCAAGTTAGCCCAGGAGTAAAAACTACTTCTATGCTACTTATCACCACGTTCACCTATCTACATAATGTTGTAAAACGTGCTATGTTGCTATCATATTTAGTTTCCAGTTTTCCACTGACTTTCGTATTTCTAACAGCCGTTTCTAATTCACTTGTTCAGTCAACAAACATATTACCTTGTCACAAAGCGGTAGTTAAGCAGCAAACTTGATATTTGCTTGGAGTACGTATGTAGTGGTAACTTTGTAAGCCTGCACACTACATTTATACTTCCATAATGGATAAGATTTTATTTTGATAAATCACACAGTGTAGTACAGTTATATTAACTGATGACGTTTCGAGCACAAACTATTGCTCATAATCATATCAAGTATGAGCAATAGTTTGTGCTCGAAACGTCATCAGTTAATATAACTGTACTACACTGTGTGATTTATCAAAATAAAATCTTATCCATTATGGAATTATACTCTACCACAGTGCCCAAGTTTTATACTTATACATTTATACTTGTTTCTATTATCACTTGCTTTTAACTTGCTGCGTATACTCGTGTACATGTACCACTAAAACCATCCTTATTCCAACATATTTTTATTTTGGTTAAACTAGGGGTACTGAGGATATTATTTCTCCACATGGAATCCCATTAGACTTATTAGATCGTGTTATGATTATACGCACTTTGCCATACTCTTGCGAAGAAGTTATTCAAATCCTACGTATACGTGCACAAACTGAAGGTATAAAAGTGTCGGAACAAGCTTTCACTTGCCTTGCAACGGTTGCCACAGATACAACTCTGCGGTGAGTTTAATTTTTTGAAGTCAACAGCATAGTTTTTTTTTATTGCATACGCTTAAAATCTATGAATACATAATAGATGCTGCTGGCTGGCTGGATTCAACATAGAACTTGGCACCGAAGTGCAGCAGTTCGAGTTGCCACGTTCCAAATAGCACACAAAGGTAGACAAGAAAATGAGAGAAGAGAATCAATAGAATTTAGATAAGTATAAGAGTGAAACAGAATGAGTAATGGTAGAAAGGAATATGAAAGATTAAAGAGACTGAATACATCTGCGCCATTGACAACGATTTTGAGTCATGTCACCTATTGTCTCCAGCCATTGATTCTTAGAGTCCCGAGGGCCCCAACCCGGAAGTCTGCATCTCCCTACCTGACTCAGTTTAACTGTCAGGGATTTCATGGATTGATGCCATGTTTTTGTTTGGCCACCACTTACTCTTTTCCAACCTGCACCTATATCAGCTAGTAATGCCCGTCGGGGGAGGCGATGGCTAGGCATGCGCAGCACGTGATCTAGCCATCTCAATCTGTGTAACTTTATAGCCTCGTCGATTGATTTTCCCTCTTTGCTCAACACTCTACGCCTAACGTCAACATTACTTACCTTATTATACCACCTAACGTGAGAAAGATATTGTAGACATCTATGATCAAAAACAGTCAACCTTTTCATGTTTTCAACTCGTATTGGCCATGTTTCAGAGCCATAGAGAAGGACGGAGCGAACTACTGAGCAGTACACACGTCCCTTGGTTGATAGCCGGATGTCACGCCTACGCCAAAGACGGTGTAGGTTAGCGAAAGCAGCCCAAGCTTTTTGGATCCGTGCTGAGATTTCGTCACCAATCAATTCGTTGGTGCTGATACAACTTCCCAAATAGGTGAAGTGGTCAACATGTTCTATCACTTCAATCCGTATCACTAAGCTAGGAGTTGACGTAGTCCAGTCCTGTAGCAGCATCTTACATTTTACAGGGGCGAATCGCATGCCAAACATACGAAGATTGCTGCTCAAGGTGTTCAGAAGACTCTGCATTTTGTCAGCATCCTCCCCTAACAGGACTATGTCGTCTGCATATTCTAAGTCCATAAGACTATTCCCTGGTAACAGGTCGATTCCTAAGTCGTTAAGTTCAGTTAAGGATACTTCCATTAGCATATCTATGATGAATGGGGAAAGTGGACATCCTTGACGGACACCACTGGTTGTTATCAATTCAGCTGGCAATTCCCCATAAGCCCTTACATGGCTACGTGAGTTTGAGTAGAGTGCCTTGATTAGTGCAATGTACTTTCTTGGCACTCCCTTCACAGTCAAACATTGCCATAGTACCTCTCGATCTACGGAGTCGAAGGCCGCCTTCAAGTCAAGAAATATGGTAATTGTTGGACGCCTAAAAGTGTGTCTATGTTCTAGGATCTGTCGGAGAGTGAAGATATGATCTATGCACCCTCTACCTGGCCTAAAGCCCGCTTGATTTTCCCTCGTTTGTTCCTCCCGAGTTCGGCTTAGTCTGTGCATGATTACTGAGCCTAGGATTTTAGAGACTATGTTCGTCAGGCTGATTCCTCTATGATTATCACATGAGGACTTGTCTCCCTTCTTGAATATTGGTATAATAAGTGACTTACCCCAATCTGATGGAACCGTCTCTGATTCCCAGACGTTACCTAGTACCTTAGTTAAACTATATACTAGTATGTCACCCCCATATTTAAACACCTCCGGAATAATTCCGTCGGGTCCTGCCGCTTTGCCTCGTTTCAAATTACAGATAGCTTTTGTAACCTCACTTACAGACGGCGGGCCAGTGTCTATGTCCCATTCGGGTGTGTGCTGGATGGCGGTGAGGCTCAGTGTGGCTGTAGGCAAGTTAAATTGTTCCTCAAAGTGTTCCTTCCAGCGTTCAAGGCGTCTATCCTGAGAGCTAATTAAGGAACCATTTTTCTCAGAAATAGTCTCACTTATGATTTGCCTTCTCCCACCCGTTTCCCTGATGAGTCTAAAGAGTTGCCTAGTGTTGCCTATCGCTGATGCTTTTTCCATCTCTTTCGCCTTTGTCAACCACCACTGTTTACGGTCCTTGCGGAGACTTTTCGTAAGTCTCCTTTTGTGCAGCTTTCGCTCCTCATTGAATTCGGAGCTCGCCGGAATAAGTCTTCTAGCATCTATCAGTTCGGATGAGGCAGTCGAAATCCAATGGTTCTTACTCACCTTTGGTTTTACCTTATTCACAGCTTTTACAGCTGTATCCATGGCTGACTGAATGTTCTTCCAGGCTTCTTCAGGGTGAGCGCAGCTGTCGAACTCAGATATGTGTTTAGCTAGTTCTTCCTCAAATAGGGACTTAGTTTCCTGATCGAGCTGGGGACGTGATGGGTTTATCGCCAGCTGTTTCCTACGTCCGTTCAGTCGTAAGCACACACGAGCGCGGACCAGTGCGTGATCGGTATCTACACACGTGTTCCAGAAGGAGCGACAATCTCCTACCGACCCACGCCAACGATAGCTTATTGCTATGTGGTCTATTTGTGTCCAGCGTTGGTTTGATGATGGGGGTCGCCAGGTCAAACAGTGTCTCTCCTTGTGTTTGAAGTTAGTGCTTACAAGAAACAAATGATTATCAGAACAGAACTGTAGGAGACGGTCACCGTTGTCGGTTCGCTGGCACGGAATTCCGTATGTGTCACCGACATTCTCAGATTGACACAATTTCCCTACTTGAGCATTAAAGTCACCAGCTAAAACGACTATATCTGAGCGTTTAACCTTTCGCAGCAAACTAGACAGCTTTTGGTAGAACTCATCCTTCGTTTCATCCGAACTGCAGTCAGTGGGGGCGTAGGTGGAGATTACGAAAAGGCATCGGCGAGTAGTGCAGTCCTTTCTCCTTTTCACCGACCCGTTCAGACGGACGGCACACATTCGGCTATCTACCGGGATCCAGTCAAGTAATGTCTTTTCTGCCCTAGTACTCAAAGCTATCCCAACACCAGCTAATCCTCGTGAGCTAGCCGTCGCATCTCCTGACACCCTCAAGGTGAATTTTGCAGATTCATCCTGTTGGCCAGGTGGGGTTAGGTGAATAACCACACTTGGGTTTTGTATGCGTGTTTCTGGAACACAACATACATCAATGGCTCGGGATGCCAGAGTCTTGGCTAGTGATGCTTGTTGTCCTATTTGGTAAAGTGTCCTAACATTAAATGCTCCTATATGAAATTGGTGGCGTGGCTTTAGGAGACTATCGATGGTGGCTTTTTGGCTTCCATCGTTATCAGTGCACACAGAGTGAAAAGGAAGTGAAGGGCCATCAAGTAGAGGAGTTGCATTGGTAGAAGGAAGGCAAGATAATAGAGATGAAGATAGATACAGGGATGAGTGAGAATTAGAGAGGTTTCGCGTGCACTTCGGATTGTGAGGGCGATTGTTACTTCCCGGCTGCCCACACCGTGGAAGTTGGTTGCGTGACCGCAGAGCCCAGGGGACAACTGCTTGAGGCCGGTCACACACGGCCTGTTTTTGTTTGTTCTTTTTTATTTGGTGTGTCTCAGTATCATATTTATCACTTCTGCCCTGTGACACGGCAGCAGAAAGCGTTGTCGTTGTTAATCCGGGCCCCGACCGATCCGGCATGATATTTTGTGATTTTGTTTGAGTCATGACATTGGATTGGGTAGCTGCTTTTTGTCTAACCGCTATCCAAACAACCTTTCTGGCATGGTAGGACCTACAGGAACTGTTCCAGCCAGTGTAGCTCGTTGGGTCATTGCGATATGCAAGCCCGACCACCACGTCAAGGTAGCAGCTTTCGGTCGGGACATATAATGAAATAATAAATGAAACAATGAAAAGCTCATAGAAACATGCAACAGTCCAGTTTTGTATGTTTTGTTTCACTGGTATAAAGAAGCCATTAAAATAAATCGAAAAATTATAATTAGAGGAAAAACAAGGGAGTTAAGGTGAACTGTAAGCCAAGAATTTAATCCATCATGAGATATTGGCATTTTTTAGCATGTCACCATAAGTTTGCATTACTGCTGTGTCGATAGCCACAACCACGAAATGTGCGTGGTCATGTCTAATAACCAGAAACTTCATAGCTTAATGTCAATTTACAGTCTCGCCACCTTTAAAATGGCCATGACTTTCAATTTTTAGGTCATATTCTCTAACTTCCATTTCTATGCCGAGGTTTGGCAACCACTGGCCTTCACGAAATACTTTTAGCTCTCTGCCTAATGCACATATATATAATTGGTTCCTGCGGTGAGGATGTCAAATATATATTTCTGGCTTATTGCCTAGTATGTTCAAATTGGGTTCAGATACAGCTCCTTATTAACCCTCAACACAGCATTAAAAGTAGTGCTACTTAGCATTGGGATAACACTTCACTGGAATGTCCCACAATATGTCATCCAGGGATTAATGCTTGTTTATGAGTCTATGTGAAGGT